GGGGAATTGCAAACCAGGAAGCACCAACCAGCACCAACCAGCGGGGTGTGAGATGTTTATTTGGCAAACAATTGTCATCCGGGGGGGATGTGGGGGAAACGAGAGCCTTCTCCTTCTTGGAGCCTATGCAAATAATGGTTCTATAATTGTTTAATTGATAACCAGCCGACGCCCAACACCACCACAAACTTGACTCGCTTCAGAGTCCAATTTGTGCAAATTGCATGCCCATTGAAACGATTGCCATTCCCACTGCTGGGTCGCAGGTCCCAGGTCTCCTCCACCCACCATTAGACAGTCTATAAACATATCAACACCTGTTATGGTGGCATGTGGAGAGTGCTCCTGCAGCAAATATTGAAAATCACTGACGACAACACCCGACACCAACGCCGACTGGCGACTGCCGCCTGCCGCCTGCCCGTCTCTCGCCTTTTAACCTAAATATCTTTTAGTTGCTTGTTTTTCTCCCACTTTTGTACAAAAATGTACGCAATTGATGGGTGTTTGTGTGTGTGTGTGGGTGTATTTCCGCTGCTGTCAATCAATGGGACAAAGGGACAGTGGACTGGACATTTGCACCCTGTCGACCAGGCAGGTGTGCCGCGGCTCTTAATCCCGCATGCTGGCCGTTTGTCGCGTGCAAAAATATATCCCATACACTGACAGAAAATTGAGTGATAATTGTGCGGAATGGCAGCACATTTAATGCCACAAAAGTGTAGACAATGCGTGATGGTTGCCTAATTGAAGTTCTCTTCTTGCAGTGTCTCTGCTGGCTCCACTCTTTCGCAGCTGCGTTGTCAATTTCACACGCCAGTTGGTCTGCTTCTCGCTGTTCCTGTCTCACTCACACCACCACTTGCAGTTGCACTCCACACCCACTCCCATTCCCATTCCCAGTTCGGTTGCCCTCTAGTCTCTGTGTCCTTGTTGCTGTTCCTGTGTCCTCTTCAGCGGGTATTTTGTTATTGCTAACCATTCGTGGCACGTTCAATTGATTGAATTGAAGTCGCATCGCAGCGGAATGGAACGAAACGGACTGGAATGACGGGGAGAAACGTGGAGAAGCGTTCTGTCAAGGACTCCACTCCACTCCACTCCACTCCATCCCTGTTGTTGCACGGGCTTGTTAGGCGGCATTTCTATCATATGTCCCAGGCAGCTGTCCATCACCGGCCCTAGTCCTCGTCCATGTAACAATTATTCAATTTGATTTACCCTTCAACATCCCCCCCCCCACTATCCCCTATACCTATGACAATACCAAATACCAATACATGCATACATTTATGCCCCTATATCTTTGTTATCCCTGCTGTGTGTTTGCGTCCCTTTCTATTGGGTTTTGGCACATTGTTGTTATCACACCTGAATAGCTGCCAAATGTGTCGCCCGTTGGCGGCGTCATGGCTTACACCTGTTTTCAGCCTCTTTCCCCTCTCCCAACCAATCACTTTGCACTCTCCACAGCCATGCCACAAACCCATTGTGCGTCCGCGGCGGAAGTGCTTGCCTCTTGGAAGCGGAAGTGAATTTAATGCGACTGCAATTTGGATAACCGCTTTGGCAAGCCCATTAACAGCCTTAGGCAGGACATGCAGTACATAGTATGTATGTATGTACATAATCCTGCTGCACTTCAATCCAACTTATTTTCAATATATTTCAAATCAAAGAGGTAGATTTCGTAATGAGAGAACTGACTGTATTATAAATGCGATTCGCAGAAACTGCAACCTTTCATTGTCTTATTAACAATTAATCAATTTCTGTTGGAAAGATATAAAGATTTTACTCTTAGACCTAAACTTATTCTAATCCAATGCACTGTGGGTTGAAGGCCCTAATTTTTGGCATTTACGTAATTTTCTGATTGCTAAATATCCAGATAGAACAAAACTGGTTTTAGAAGATTTGACTGCTTTGACTTGTGAAAAAGTGCGGGAAACATTGAGCAACTTGCAGCTGTAATTGTAGCTCGATTACAAAGTTTATACACAAGTAAAAATACGGATATAACAGGTCGAGGTATTTAAACTAATTGTTAAAACAGGTTTTTGTATAGTTATTTAACTGTCCAATGTTTTGTTCGAGTGTCTTTTTAGCTTGGTACTAACAGTTGCACGTGTTTTCTGTGAAATATTACTTTTGCACAGCACACCACTGCACAGAAGTTCAAGTTGATTGTTATTAAAGAAATATTATAGAATCACGTGGTGTTAATGCTTTTTGCCCGTTTTTTCAGCCCGTTCCAGCGCTGCTGGAGCTCTGGACCAACAACAATCGTGAAGCAGACGCAATAAAATGTTGTTACTTAAAGAGTATTGACAAAAACGGATTAACTAAAGATGAAACTGTTACATTTTTTTTAAGTTTTAAAATGTTTTAAAGGAATTTTTTATCATAATTAATCTTATGAATACTTTTTTCGAGTTCCAGTTTGTATGGGGGCTGGGTCCAAATGACTAAATTGTTGTTCCGAAATTCTACTCCAGTCCAAAGAACATTCCTGCCAATTTGTAGAGCTCTTGGTTTGGTTAATGCTGTTGCATATTTTCACAATTAAAGTAAATATATTTTCTACAAAATTGTATTTATTATTTTTGTATTTCAAAGAACATTTCTAATCTAATATTATTGTACCAATCAAAAACTTTGCGACAAATTGTCAATGCTCCGTTTTACGTATCTAATGCAAACATCCACAAAGATCTGAATATTCCAACCATTAAAGAAGAAATAAAGAAAACTAGTAAGAAATACATCGACAGACTCCACAACCACGAAAATAATTTAGCCTTAAGTCTATTAGACAATAGCCTAACAGTAAGAAGACTGAAAAGATACCACATTCTCGATATCCCTGATAGATAAATTTAACAAACTAAAAAGATGTTATATATAATAGCAGGGCTCATTGGAAAACTGNTTAATTATACAATTTACTTATTGTTTAAAAACAGATTGTAAATATAAAGAGAGAGAAAAAAAAAAAAAAAAAAAAAAAAAAAAAATATATATATTAAAAAAAAAAAATAAAAAAAAAAAAAAAAAAAAAAAAAAAAAAAAAAAAAAAAAAAAAAAAAAAAAAAAAAAAAAAAAAAAAAAAAAAAATATTATTGTACACCAAAGGAAACCATATTTTATATCGCTCTTTTTGTGTGTAAAAAATAGATACTTACGTTAAATAAAATTGAAATCTACTTAACCAACAAATGTTTATATGTTTTCTTTGATTTGCTTTATATATTTATATTTGTTTTAAAGTAGAATTATCCATTAAATAGCCTGTCGAAACCAATTTTCCATGCTCTAATTGACATTCCTGTCAGGATGAAAAATATAACCCAAGTATAACGTTCTTACTGTCACTCTTCTTGTCAATTGTATTTACTACACTCTACTTGTAGCTTCTGCAAATCAGTCTTTGTCCTGGAGTTAGTATATATTTCACTTGGACTCGGACCCCCCCACCCGTCTCGTACGAAGCCTTGCCTTGGGTACGAGCGTTCCTGCTGCAACCTCGTTTGAACCTTAACAAATAGCGACGAAAATTGCAACAAATGTGTTACGAATGGTTCGTGATCGTGGCATGACAGAATGTCGCCTGCAACAACAACAACAGCAACCACAACTAGAGCCTCAGCTACAGCTACAGCCACAAGTAGTCGTCGTACAGCAAACTGAACCAGAGAATTGTAGACCAATGAGGAAATCGTTACCTTGGATTAAACCACTTAAACATCACGAGTTGAACTCTTAACAGCCTGGGACTGCGACTGCGACTGCGTCTGCGGCTGGGAGAAGACTTTCGGGGCTGCAGTGCTGGCTGCTGACTGCTGGCTGCTGGCTGATGATGTTGATGAGGAGGAGACGAAGACAACATAGAAGTTGACAACGGCAGCAGCAGACCCAGCAGCAAACAACAACGAGATTAGCCGCGTTGATGAGAGAAGAGTAACAGAGAGAGAGAGCTAGAGAGAGATGGAGAGTTCGGAGAGTGGTAGCCATGGGCTCCTGAGGTTGCTTGTTTCTCCATTGGTATCTCTATGGAACCGATTACAACCAAGTAACCAAGTGTTTTTGCTGTTGCTGTTCGCTGTCGTTGCAGCTGATGCAATAAATCGCCGACATTGCTGAAAGTTGTTGCTGAGATTGTGATAAAAGTAAATCGTTGCAACAGCAGCAACACTGAGACACTGAGACACGAGACACGATCAGACAGGCAGGCAGGCCCTCGAGGAAGGACCAGAGCCAGATCATCGATATCAAATTACCTCCCATTGAAATGCACAGGCGGTCCTTGTTCCACATACAAGGAACTCCTTTCGCAGTACTCCTTCTTATCAATTTCGTTTGGCCAACTCCACGTTAGAGCACGTAGAAAAAGTTAACACACACAGGGAGCAAGGGGAGGTGGAAGGCGAGGGAAAAGTTGTGCCAAGCACTTGGAATTTTCGGTGTAAAAGCATCCCCATAAGCGTTACGCTGGCGTATTCTAAACTTCGAGCGCTACTTTTGCCCATGCAGCTAAAGTCATTATCATTAAAGCCACCCCAAAAAACTTTCACTCCTCTGTGACTGTTTCGGAGTGTGCGTGTGTGTGTGTGTGTGTAGGGACGAGGACGAAAGAGCTGAGCGGAAAATATTGTAAATTGTATCTAACAGATACTTTATCGAGCCGAAATAGAAACTTTTGCCATTGTCCGCGAGCAACAGAACCGACACACACATGAGAGAGGAGGAGAGAAGTTGATGGAGGGGTAGCCATAGCTGGGAGGGGAGTTACTTGGGACTTATATGCCAGGAAGATAATGAGAGTATAACTGGGCGTGGCAACAACTTGCGAGCATTCTCCGACTGCAAGGGAAAACTTTCTCGTGTGTGGCAATGGAAAAGTTTTTGCGCTCTGCTGCCTGGAAAATGTTCCATCAAAAAGCAGCCACAGGAACGAAATCATTATTTTCCGCTCTCTGCTTGGAAACAGTGACAAAAAATGCCTTAAGAAACATCTATTAAGGTTCAGAAAATGAGGGAACAAACAATTATGAATCATAAATGAGCGATCAGCACTATTCAAGATTAAGTCAAGATTTTAGCATCCTCTGCCACCCCAAGCCGGTCCAAAGTTGAGTCTACACCATTTCTGAACTGTTGGGACGAAGGAGAGAGTTAAAGAAAGATAGTCGACATGGTCGATATGCACGTACTGTCTCTGGGGCCCCAGGTGGACGAGGTTCTCATCGGAACACGCCCGGGCACGCCTAAGGCCACGCCCACGAGCACGAGGAGTAGCGTCAGTGATATTGGGAACTGCATTTCTGGATTAGAGCTGCGCACTCTCGCGGCTGTGGCTACTTATAAGCGGAAATTCGATATCCATTCGATATGCATATGATGTGGTGGGTTAATGCCTCGAATTGGATACGATTATTAGTAGTCCCGGAAGTGGATACGATCTTTTGAACGACACATTACCATGATGGAAGTAACCGAGATTCGGGCTGGTCTGCTCTGGCAGCAGTTAAAAGTAAGCCAGTGCCGGAGGGACGGGCCAAAATCCCCCAATTTGATGGCCATAATATGTCTTCATTGCTCAGACACTGACATGAGCATGATTCTGCGGTAATCATTGCCCCTTGGGCTATGGAAATCAGCGATGCTTTGTGGCCCATTGCCAGTCGCTGGCTGCCATTAAATTGCAGCCAAGAGATCGACGGTCCGGCAAATCTGGAGCTGGAAAGAGTGAAAGGCAAGCGGAAGGAGATGGAGAAGAGAACTTGCAGCTGGCTCGGTTTCGGTCCTCCGATCTGCCTGGGTAACCTGATTCAATGAGCTTGAAAATCTATCGCCGCATGCGGGGCCTTTCTTTTTGCCACACATTTCTGCCTCTGAAAAGGCCAAGACTTGATTGACCAGCAGCAGCGGCAGCGGCAGCTCCCATTCTGTTTATGAGCCTTTTTTCGAAATACTTTCTAAAGCATTGTCGTTGCCTCCTGCCGTTTGCCATGGTTGTGCCCGCAGTTGTTTTATTACAAATTGGAAATTTGTCTCAAAAGCGCCCAAGGAGGCAGCATTTGCATTCGCCAAAGTTCGACAAATTTCCAAACGCATTTATCTCCGCACTCAGATCTGCAGCGAACTCAGTCAGTCAGACACGACACAAGCCGCGGTCTGCTCTTTTTCCCATTGGTTTGTCTTTGATTTTACTTTCGAAAGGCACTTAATTAGTGGGGAACAAAACACAGTCGAATGCTCTGCAAAACTGTTGCACGCTGACTGACTGAAAGGCTGGATATAGGAAGCTATAAGGGAGCAATTTTCACACTTTCGGGTCCTACAATATGCACTGGAAAATGGAGGTCAAAGTTGAGTGGCAGATTCCAGTTTTTCTTACTCATTAGACTGGCTTGCCTTGTGAGCGAAAAGTGCAAACTGAAGTACAGAAATGCAAGCACTAAAGAATATCTCAAATTTATGCCAAAAACTACGAATTGAGCTAAGCAATTTAACTACCTATCTATCAATAACTAACTATCAATAACTGATTGTAAACATAGCTCCCACATCATTCGGTTCTTGTTTTAAGAGCAAACATTGTTCTGCTCTCCACGAAAAGTGTTCCTTCCCAATGGGCATTCTGAATGCATTCTTCAGCGGTTTGACTCTCATTTCTGTGGCATACTTTTGGGGCGTTGCCAAAATACTTTATTGATCTTTTGGTGTAGAAAGAATGTATACAAAAATGAAAAAAAAAACTAAACGAATTTCAAAGAAACAAGCTTAGATTTATGCATATTCAGCTCGTTTTTATTATACAATTTATAAAGGAAATATAGCCGGGAGGATTTCCTAAATTATATTCTCTCTGTTCCGGACTTTTTCGTACTTTTCCATAAAATCTATTCCTAGTTGGATGCATAATTGTATCGCAAATATTTGCATATCATAATAATATTTTATCAATTGAATATTGCGTGTGCAATGTGGAAACGCATTCGATTGATTAAACAGCGTGTGAAAGGAGCAAGGACCTCCGGCTTTGTGCCTGTCCCACGCAATTAAACCGAATATTAATTATGCGGAATCCCATGGCATATCGATTTGCCATAACTGACACATTTTGCAGCCATTGTTCCTTCTTCTGCAGCAGCTGTTGCGGACTTGTGGGGGCAACATCCCCCACAAAGCAGATGGAGATGACAGAGACACTGCGCCTATTCCTGCCACAAGGGAACCCTCTACTCTGTCTCTCTGTCTGTGTCTCTGTGTTTGCAATTAGGAGCGCTTTATTTGATAGTGTTGGTGCAGGCTGCTGACAAATGCAAAGGCATATGATGCCGACTGGCCCCCGTGTGCAGACCCGTACAATGACCCACATTGTGATGCGCTTTTATTAGACACGCGAGGCGCAAAAACAAAGGCCGCTCCAGACAATGGAATGGCAAGGGGACGACAGCATCATCATCGTCATCAAACATAAAAGCGAATGAAGGAGCGCGAAACTCACATGAAGACAATGCAAATGTGGCACAGTCGCAGGACATTAAACTCCCCATTCGAGTACGATTGCATGTGAGAAATTTGAGATTAAATCAAGGAACGAACAACGTGGCTTTGAGTTCTGCCTCCTAGACAGTTCTAGGCAAATTCCATTATAAACATACGAAAACGGAGAGTCTACAAACATTTTTGGAAATGAGTAACGAGCGGCGTCGCTCCTCTGCGGCAACAGAGTTCCTGGAGGTTGTGGTGCGGCCCAAGAAATATTACAAAGTAAAGCATCCTCAAGAGCAGTCTGATCGTGGCAAAATTATCGTCAGTTCTGGCGAGAGGTGGCGCATACTCAAAAATGTGGCCGTCATCTCCGTGGCCATGATGACGCAGTACGTGGCCTATCAGGTGAGTTCGAAGACTAAAACTGACCCAAGACCTACCGGTATCAACGGATATACTGTCATTAGGGCACTCTGAACCTACAGTCCTCGCTGAATGCGAAAGATGGTCTGGGCACCATTGCCCTCTCCTGCATCTACCTCTCGATGAGCGTCTCCTGTCTGATCCTGCCCACCATCATGATACGCATGCTGACCTGCAAGTGGACATTGGTCATAGGCATGGCCGCCTTCATACCCTACGTAGCCCTGCAGCTGTACTCGCGGTATGTGGTCCCAGAATAATACTCTGTATGACACTCTTTGAGGCATCTTTTGCGTGCAGCTTTTACACGCTCGTTCCGGCGGGCATTTTGCTGGGCGTGGCCGCTGCCCCCATGTGGGCCGCCCATGCCACATATCTCACGCAGATCAGTCAGATTTATGCGATTATAACCTCCTCGGAGATGGATGCCGTGATCACGCTGTTCTTTGGGATCTTCTTCTTTGCCTGGCAGAATGCGGACACCATTGGCAATCTGATGTCCAGTCTGGGTGAGTTTTTGGCTGACTGAATCCCAAGATCTCATTACAACTGGCAGCCCGCCTGCTTAATTGCATTTCTGATTAGTTGGGGGACTTGTCAGGGCAGCGCACCCCATAATGAGATTCAGCAAAAGAGGTGGTGAGGAGGGGCTTAGTTAATGGGCAAGGGTACCGGGCTACCCTTTGACCAATGGGGCAGTTAGTCAGTTCCAGTTAGCCGCAAGAGCAGCCACCATCATCATCCTCACCAGCATCACCAATAGGCAGACCACAGACCTTAACAACAAGCGGCACATCCAACAACAAAGTGGGCCAGTTTACACCTGCAGTTAGTGTGGCAAAGGGGGCAGGCAGGGAGCCTCACCTGCACCTGCATGGCCTTTCCCATGTAATTATTTGTAATTTGTTTGCCCAAGTGCAGGCAAGTGCAGCTCTCGTTGTTGTCCTAGTTGGTCCTTGTTCACCGTGCACTTTGGCTGCTTCCTCCTCCACTTTACATTTCTCGTGCGCCTCCGCCACTCGTGTACATTCGGAAGTGCTTAGTTATGGTTGTTATTGCAGCTAATACAATATGAAGAGAGAGGCCCCAAGATGGGGCCATACAGACATGTCGAAAATGCCAGCAGCTACTCAAAAGCCTCAAAGCATTTGCCATATTAAGGCATGGGCATGGGATAGGGAACGAGTGGGGTGCGGATATAAGTATTTATATAGATTGATGATGGCGACATCGCCAGCTGACAAACGGAAACGAGAAATAATTAACCCAGAAATGGCCAGAAAAATCCTGACAGCGAGCCAGAAAGAGAAATCCAAAAGCTTATGGCGTAATTGTCTAATGGCAGCGACAAAAGCGTGTCCAATGCGAGGCTCCATAAATTATCACAAGTCCAGGAAGTCCAGGGACTTATCCGCTGATGGGGCAAGGGATTTCCCATGCTAATCTCCACCGAGGAGGAGACTCAGCAGCAGCCAGCCCTTGTAGATCTTTCAATTACGAACCACCACAAAAGAAAAAATCAGCAGCACAAAACATTCCCGGGCATATGCCTGGGGGTCGTGTCGTGTCGTGTCGCGTTGCCTTCAAGTTGAATACATTTCGATTAATACAAATTTGCCTGCCTCCCCAACATTTTGAATGCGAAATCGAATTATGCGCGGAATTTAAGTGGAATTCGTTTGAGGTTCGAGGGGCGTGAGCGAGAAATTCAACGAAAATTTGCATCAATTTTTCTTGGCATTAACAACAGGATGGGCTGGGAATGAGATCGCTGAGAGCAAAAGGAAGGGATGGATGGACTGGCATGGGATGGGATTGTGCTGAGAGCTATCTGTGCCATTATTGAGTTAATAAATCACATGCCGGCTTCAATTACAGCCACAGCCCAATGGCCCAATGGCCCAGCGCGAATGCTTACCTCAAAAATTCAGTTGACTGACAACTGGAGGAGCTGCTTCTGGAATTCCTGAATGCTCGAGCAGCAGAAATGTCATTACCAGCCACTTGAAATATTCGATTTTCTATTCAAATGCTAAATTTGCGTAATAACTCAACGCTCCCAGTCCCTGTCCCAGTGTGTATCTACTTTCGCTTTGCAATTCGCGCTTGTTTGCCATTTTGGTGGGGTGAAAAGGAAAGCAAAATATCCCCCCCTTCTGACTGACTGACTGAATGCTGACTTCAATGAGTGTCTCAAGCATGTTGGGACTTAACAGAAATTGCTATGGAATTGAATTAAACATGCGAGAGTGAAAGGAAAGTGGTCTGCCTGCTGCCTGCTGCCTGCTGTCTGCTGTGGGAGTGCCAATCGTTGCTGGCACTCGCTGACTTTTCTACTCGTTACTGGCACCCATTGAGGCTTCGACCCATTCCACCATTCCAATCGTTAACCCATTGAACAAATAACGAAAGCATGAACAGATCGTAAAAATCGTTCCTCAATAACGAAGCTGATTTCCCTTCCGCCCTCGTGTGGGTGTGGGGGGTACGCAGTACAGCGTGAACGTGCGAACAAACCGGATATCCGTTTATGGAACGGATGTTGCCTGATTTCCGACCCATTGACAGACTCGCCCTACAGGAAGGGGGATTCCTGCACATTCCCCCTGCACAGATTATCGGCCATAATTTATCTTCAACTTGCATTAAATGACAAAAATGTATTTTGCTCTCGGTACGAGCTGTATTGTTGTGCTCATAAATCAGAGATCAAGCCCCCGAGCACGGTAATTGCTTTGGAAATGCGGCCAAACTGGGTTAAGCTGAAATTAGTTGTTTAGACTCGGACTTCGTGGAGGGCAAAAACATTTCCGATTTAGCTTTTCGATTGGACTCTATCTATCTCTCTCTCTCTCTCTCTATATCTGCAATTGTAGTTTGGCTTTGTTGGCCCAACTTTTTCACACACACAACTGGCACAAACAATATTTCAAAACGGTGCCCCGCCCAGAGCAGAGCTCTGTCTCTGTCTCTGCCGCTGTCTCTGGCTGTGATTCTGGGTTCCGTTTCTGGTTCTGTTTCTGGCGGATTGGGGCTGGGCACTGGGGTACATGCACAGTAAATTTTCATTTGCAAGACGGTTTGCCAGTGTTCCCCGAGCGGCAGGGAGGGATATGCATTTAAATACGTGTTGAATTATTGTGCTGCAGCAGCACCAGAATATGGCGAGGATATGCTCCAGTTGTGCACAGCTACATTCCCCCACCCTTTCCTGTATCTATTAAATTAAATTGCTTAATTTTCTGCAACTGCAAGCAGAAGCAGAGAGACGGCAAGCGGCGCTAGAGGACTGCCAGAGGACATGGAGCAAAAAGGAACATCAAACATTACAAAACTTTCATCATTGTGTGACATGGAATTATGTATTTGTTTGCTTGCTTCTCCCTCTCCCTCTCCCTCTGCCTCTCCCTGTTCCAGTCGCCTGGCAACATTCATTTCAGTTGTTTAGATTTTATGCTCTGCAATTTTATTTATTGTAGACTTTCCTCTCCGAAAGATAAGTCTCTTTATACGAGTATTCCTGCATGTAGAGTGCCTCTCATTCCCCGCTCTCATTCTCAGCTTTATTGTTGCTGCTGCTGCTGCTGCTGTTGGTTATTGTCGCTTGGTAGTTGCTCAGTGTGGCAATAATAGCAATAATAACTAAAGTAAATGGACTGTTATTCGGTGTCATGTGGTCCCCAGAGTGTTTATGAGAGAAAGAGCCAGGAAGGAACTGGAGAGATTTGTTTGGGGATGCAAACTCGTAGGGGGGAACAAATCTACAAGCGAACACTTAAGCCCTTACTATTGTTAAAATATATATTTTAAAGTGCTTTATAATAAGTTTTAATATTCAGTGCATTTATTTTTGCTAAACAGCTAACAGCTCTGTTAGCAGACCAGTCTATAGCTCTGTTGGTGCACCAGTTTAAAGTTCTGTTAGCGAAGCAGTCTACAGCTCTGTTAGTGCACCAGTCTACAGCTCTGTTAGCACACCAGTCTACAGCTCTGTTAGTGCACCAGTTTACAGCTCTGTTAGCGAAGCAGTCTACAGCTCTGTTAGTGCACCAGTCTACAGCTCTGTTAGCGCTCTCTGGCAGAGCTCTTAGAGCGGGCTCGCGCTCGCTCTCACGATCCACACTGTCGCGAGCTGCCTAAGCTTGTAAGCTAGAATGAAGTGAAGCTCGAACCCCCGTTAGTTTTGTAATGTTCCACCCCCGAATTCTGACAGAAAGAGTGCGCTTCGTGGACTATTTCTTTGGCGGTTCTTACATTTGAAGTTTCTTTCAGCGGCACCAATCCACCCTCCTACAAACATTTTTGCTTTGATATTTCTGTTTGCCATTTTTCTGTCCAATCTTAAATCAACAATTTCCTATTAAAGCGGAGACTTTTTCCCAGTAATATAGAAATACACGTGAAACCCCACCCAGCCCATCATCGTAAGCAGCCGCAGCCCAGACACAGATCCGTCTTACAGGACTCCGTCAGTGGCTGCCTTTTCCAGGAATCGCAGACGAGACACACCAAGGGCCGGGCCCCCTGCAACATTGGGCTCATAATTCATTAAGACTTTTTTGAGTTATGCACAACTTTTTACATTTCTTCCTTTGCCTGCTTTCAGTTCGTTTTTATTGTTTCTTTTTTTTAACAACTCTGTCTGCTGCCTGGGGACAAAACCGATAAGAGCTGAAGGGCAAAGTGAGGAGGAGAGGGCTTCCCTTCTGTTTCTGGATGATAACTGGCTACCGTTAATTTTTCTTTTGCTTCTAGCCCCTGCCGTGGAGGAGTTCTTGTCAGTTCTTTAAGGTGTAAATTCAGGAAGCCATAAACAAAAGGCAGCTTTGCCTTTGCCACTTCCCTTTGTCCTTTTGCTGGTGCTCCTTCGTCTTGGCCTTCCCCGCCTTATTCTTATTCTGTTTCTATATCTTCTGCCTCCTGCTTGTTCCGTCAGCTGCTTCTGCTGCGCTTTTGTTTGCACGCCTCGAAAACTGCTGCATTGTGTGCAGAAGTTAGACCCCGCTGTCCAGTGGCACAGTGGCTTCTAATTCAACTTTTAGTTTGAAAAAACTTTCAACATAGATTGGGTTTCCATTTTGTGTAGTTGCCACACCACTGTGGCTGTGTTTATGGCGGCCCGGCCCGGCCCGCCCACCACCTAACCATCTCCGATGTAAGTTCCTGCCGGGCTGCGCACAAATGAAATTGTTTTGCACTGCCCCGTGCCGTCGCTTTGGGTTTTTACTCAGCTTCTTTTTAGTATGCCGAACAGCAGCTGCTGCTGCAACTGCCTCTGATTCACTTGGTCACAGGGGAGGCAGAGAGAGGCTGCGTCCTGGTCCCAGTCCCAGTCCTGGGTCCGTCCAGTGCTCCGCCGCGTTGCACAGAATTTGTAATTGCAATGTCGGTTAATTAAATACAGTTTTACTTTATGTAGCTCTCGGATCCCTGGCACTGCCCCTGCCCTCCCTCGGTTGTGTTGTTTATCTTGTGTGTGTGTACGTCATTTTTCTCTATTTTTCACTTAGAGCTTGTTACACTCGGTGTTGAGCCTAGTCGGAGCCACCGAGGCACCGTGCCTCGGAAATTTATTGCTCTGGCCGTGTACAAGAGGCACAGGAATTGGTTCTTAAAGGATTATGAGCCGGTGGGAGTGCCAGAGGAGGATCTGTGTGGCTTTGGTTCAAATGCCAAGAGCAGTCTTAGCCACAACTTACAGCAGATGCGAAGCATGAAGGATGGGCTATTGTTTTAGGAAACCAAGTTACAAATTATATTGTATATTTTTTCTGGGTAGATAAATCCACTCTCGCTATCTGGTTGAAGGTGATTGTTATCCTTTTCTAAACTAAAATACCACAATACTGCAAACTGCAACAGTAAAATAACCAAACCAAAGAGACAAGAAAAGAGTTTAACCAACGAGAGTAATGAGTGGCAAAGAAAACCACAGAAACTGTATCATTTTCACAAAAGAGTTTTTCTTGCCGCAGCTCTCCTCCAGCTTCCTGCTGCTGCCCCGCCACGACCCGTATAAACTGTTGCAGCTATTACTTGAACATATGTTCAGCAATTAAAAAATGTTCCACATACGCACTGTGCGACACTTTTTCTCAGTCTTTGCCCTCCCGGGCACATTTTTCTTTTCTCGTTTCGCTTTGGTGTGGTCCCTCGGTGGGTCTGTCGGTGGTTCCCTCGCTGCTGCTGCCATGTGCTGCCGCTTTAATTGCGTTTCTTCTCGTTCATTTGTTTTCTCACTCTTTTAACTATGTTTCTTCTTATCTAGAATGTATTTTTCCCATTTCTTGGCACACAATGTCAGATCAATCAGTGGATGCTCTGTGAGTGTATTTTTTTTCGGATCGAATGATTAGTTTTTCAAACATTTACCAAAAATGTACAGCAAACAAGAGCTGGAATATATTTGTGATGCTTTTAGGAAAAATGTAACAGCGTCCATTAGGATTCTAAACAGCAAGTTAAACAATAATTCAGTTGGTGCTGAATTATTACGATCCCCTCCCACGGGGTAATCAAATATTATTTATTCGCTGTTTACACATATAACATTTCCTTCTCCCGCCCTCCTCCCCCCTACTTGACTTGCTAAATTTATGTAAATTGTGCGTGGCGTGGGACTCGTAGGACACGAGGCATAAATTGGCTTATTGCGCTATAAATTGTATTTATTTTGATGAAATTTACACACGGCATAAACGAAGCGAGCCGCCATGAATCCATATATGCATAGAAATACTTGTACTCGTCCTTGTCCTTCTGCGCGTTTCTACTGGTGTCCCTCTGCCTCCACCGCCCTAGGATGTTGAAGCGCAAAGTCGCCGTGGTGGGGTGGCATACAACATTTTTTGTTCTCTTTATAATGAACCGCAATTTCGATGATGCCTCGATAAGAAATTAAATATAAAATGCGTGAGAACAACATTTTTTCATTGGCGACTGAGGCGGAAAGCGGAAATGAGATACATAGATCCCTGTGCAAAAACATGCACCAAAAGAAAAGCATTCCATCTACAACAAATTCAAAAATTACACAAGCAGAAACACTCACATAGATGGAGACTAGCAGATTTTGCACCCAAAGTGGGAGTAAAAAGCAAAGGAATTTGAAGCTATTTCATTTTATTTAGTTATATTTCATATTTGATTTCTCTCAGTGCATTGAGTTTGCTGCTTAGCGACATTGATGTTTATGGATTTTGATTGCCTGCCCGCCCGCCCGCTCCATCGCACTTTGGGGCTGGGGGCCAAACTGATGTCGGGATAAGCACGCTTGCCTGCACAGGGGAAAGCCATCCCTCTGGCATCCCTCCGCTGCACACTCTCCACTCTCCACTCTCCACTCTCCTCATCACGCAGCCCAGCAAGCTGCTTGCCATTGATGCGTTCCTCTTTCAACATCGCAACATTTAATGAATATCCAAATTGGCAATTTCAATATTAAAGCGATTTTGCGAAGCTATATGAGCTGTGCCACGCCCGATAAGATTAGCACCCAAGATGAGACCCAAGTCTTTATCCATATCCATATCCATATCCGTATACGTAATGTATCTGTGTGTATCTGTGTGTGGATTGGAAAGTCATTGGTGTGTAAATTACGCCATTCATGATGTTTCCCATGCTGTGGATGGGGATGTGGACCCATTCCGTGCTTCGATTTGATGATGCGGAAAAGTAAAACCACAAAATCTGAGCCCCGACATAAACTGCCATTTGCCCTCTCCCTCCCTGCCTCCCTGCCTCCCTCTCCCCCTTTTCTCTCACACACACTTTTGGTGTGGCTGGATCTGGATATGCAAATGACAATGCAGTTCGGGTGTTCCTTCCAGAATTAATCAGGACCAGGCAACTCCAAGGAGTAAATGGTTATCCCTCCCTGGGAAACTTTTCAATCTACGGCACTCGTAATTGGCCAGCATCTGCTGGGGACTCGGGAAGTTCTTTAGTGTTATTGCAGCCATTTCTATTTGAGCCAGAACTCATAAAATGTACTCGAGAGCTGCTACTCTGCCTCTGCCTCTGCCTCTGGCCCATGTCGTTGGACAAATGAAGTTGCCCGGAGTTGTGGGAGCCCTGTGGGGGTTGTTTTCAACTGGGGGAAGCTTCTGCTCCCTAATGAAATTTTGCAACCACCGAAATAAAAAGTATCAGTGTCTGTCAGATTGTACATGAATGGGAATTAATTTCCAACAAAATGACAAAGCAATGCCTGAACACCAGAAGGGTAGGGCCAAAAACAGAAGTCGGACAGGGGCAGCCAGATGGATTCTGAGCAATATAAAAGAGTTTCCAGAAAGGTTTGTCTGTGTAACTTTTGAAGAAGGTATCAAAGGATCGCAGTCTCCCATGGGAGATTCGGGTTTTAAATACAAAAAGAAGAAATGAATAAATGTATTACTTATTTTAGGTAGGAAATCCATTTCATGTCTCAAGGCTTTAGTTAGTTTGAATTAAAGATATTAAATATTCAAAGATTACATTTACTCTGAAATATTTAACCCTCTCGAACTTTCATCTATATTGGCCGGGGTTTGCCCTCCACTCCGCTCTACCTACCCCTGGCAATCGGCAATCACTTTTAGCTCGTCGAGCAATCAACATCCGTTACATTAATTTGATGTTGCCATCTCCTGCGCTCCTTCATCTCCGGCTAACAATATTAAAATCTTTATCAAATCGAAATTAAAAACCAGTTGGAATTGCTTCCTCCACGTCTCCTGCCCCTTGCCATTCCCACTTGCAGCATCCACCTCTGGCAACAACTAAACTTTCATCTGGCTGGAGCACCCCTTGGCCTGGCCCTGCCTCGCCCGGACTCGGCCTGGACCCATGAAACTTTAAATAAATATGCAGCGTGTGCACCCCTCCTCATGCTCTCCAGAGCTGTGTGTGCCCGTGTAACCGATAACATCATTATTGATGAAGCTCCGGGTGGAAGTCGCAGCCAGGCAGGCAGGCAGGCAGGCAGGCAACCAGCCAGCAAATGGCAGAAAGGCAGCCCGAACAGATTGCTGGAATGTGCTCCGCTCCGCTCCCAAGGAGAGCAGCCACTGTCAGAGTCACAGTCAGAGCCAGAGATAGAGGTCGCCCGGCACTTCCGCTCTCGGATGGGGGCTGGGGGCTCCCCACTTTGGGCTGCAGCTGTTGTTGCAGACAGCGCGCGCTCGTTTAGAGATTGGAAATCGTAGACAGCGTCGCAGTCGTCGTCGTAATAACTGTAATTGATTTTTGATTTGTGATTTAATTTAACACAGTTAAATGAATTGAACTGCAGGGGAGCGGAAGTGGAAGTGGAGTGAAGAGATAGCGATAGAGACAGAGACAGAGACAGCGAAGAGCCAGGATTAGAAGTAGCAAAACTGAGGACAGATAGAGGTTGGGTTGGGCATTGGGTTATGGGTGTGTCCAGGCTTAGTTGAGTTGACTCTGCAGATTTGACTACGTAAAGCTAAAGAGTTTCTGCGTTTATTTGTATATTAATTATATTTATTATTATTATTATTATTTCTATTTACAGCTGAGACGCAGACAGATTTGTTACAACTAATAATCCTAACATTTACCTTTAGCTGCAGTCGTGAGAATATTCTACACACCACATAAAAACACACTCAATGATACTTACTTATAAATGTCCTTAATTTGAATCCCTTTCACAGCTTCAAATATAATTCATTTACATTGCTAATTTTCTTACAGATTTCTTTACAGATTCTCTAGATATTCTCTTGTCACAATTGAGTTTTCCCTATTATAACTTAACCTTCCCCTCTTTTGAATCTATTAAGATCTAATATCGATTCCATTTTACCCCCCTCAACCCATGCAGCAAGGCAACTACCGGGAACAGGAGAAGTACGCAACGCTGGCCAATGATCTGCGGGCTGCCCGTCTGATGCGGGATGCGGAGCTCGCCAAGAACAAGGCCGACTACTATACCAAGCAGATCGAGGAGGCAGCCGATCATGAGTCGGACGGGGAGGACGACGAGCTGGAGCAGGACGTGACTGTGAATGAGAACAAGCCAAAGGCATAGAGAGCCTTCCAAATTGTGTCGATATAATAAATGCAACACTGGAAAATGACGCTCTTTGTCTTCAGGCATCTTTGTTTCCTCCATCATCTGAATCTTCAGGGTTTTCCAGGACCATCTCCTCTCGCTGTGTGTGTGTTTAATTAATTGTCTTGCCGGGCCATGACACATCCTAGAGCTGCAGAAGGATGCCAAAAGTGCACCATAAATGCCACAGCATCGAGCAACGAGTGCTGCAATGGCATTAACTTGGCGTTGACGATGCGGCAAGATGCGGCCAAGTGCTGCCACTGTCTTCACTGCAGTCGCAGGCCATCAAAGGAAGCCGAAGAGACACCGTAAAAGGACAACGCTTTGATTGCCCAGCAGGAGATAAACAAGAGAGGCAGAGACACAGAGGGAGCGACGTTCTTAATGTCTGGTCATGAGTTAAACACTTCAATAAAATGTGAGCATGTGTGAGTGCGTGCAGGATGATAAAGCAATTGTCCTCCGCACACACTTATGTTGCACATACGCCACGATGGCGCAGACTGTCGAAATTTTCAAGTGTCTGCCTCAGAGGGTAATAAAGAGAATTAAAAACCATTTCCAGACAAAGCGAGAGAGCAGCTACACCCGAAGAAATTAGCTATTATAATGATATGGCAATTACCAGAGAGCTCTTACTTGAGCTCTTCGGAGGATTAACGCCGCAGCTA